CTGAGAATTGGACGTCCCTGGCCTAGAGCAGCTCTTCAGCAGCCATTCTGCTGGCTTCAAGAGCTTCTAGCCGTTGCTGCACTTCAGCTTGTGCAGCAGCTCCTTCCTGAATACGGCTCTCAACGGCAGCCTTGAATTTGGAGACGTCCACTCCCATGTGCTCCTGGAGGAATTTTTCCCCTTCCATCAGTGGGGGAAAAACTTCCTTCTCCATAGCGTCGCAGAAGGTTTTGAGGGCTTCAGCAGCTTTTTTCTCGTACTCCTCACCCTTCTGCTGCTTCTCTTCAGCTGCTGCTTGCTTCAGCTTAGCAAGCTTTAATTCCTCTTCAGCTACCTTCTTGTCGTGCTCAGCAGCGTCTACCCTATCTTGTAGGGTATCTATCAGCTCTACAATGAGAGTCTGATTGTGCACGAACTGAAAACAGGAAGACAAGTTAAAAAATAAAAAAAATAATAAAAATAGAGCTGAATTTTAGAGGAAATAAAGGCAAGGAAAATCACCTGCATCATCAGCAGTTGGTTAGACCTGGCTGGGTCAGGAACTGATCTGCTGGATTCGCCCATCCTAGCAGTGGCCTTCAGCGACCAGATTCTTGCCCTATCTACTTCGGACATGCCAGCAAAATCGCCGAAGTAGGCTGCAGCTCCTTCTCGGTTCTGACCCCATATGAGGTCCCAGATGTGATCTGGGATTGGAATTCGGGGGGCCGAGAAACCCATTTCTCCAGATTGCAGAGTCTGGAAGGAGGGAAAGGATGACGATGGAGCTTGTTTAGCTTTGGATGGCTCAGCATCATCCTTCTCAGAGGAGTCAATTACTATGACCTCCTCTTCTTCAGGGGTGAGGACGAAAGCCTCAACCTCTCTTGCGATGTCTGCCGTGAAACCCTCAGCACTGGGCATCACGGCATCCTTATTCTTGTGCTCAGCAGCACTCTCCTGAATTTCTTCTTGGACCCCTCCCTTAGATTCAGGAGTTTTTTGATCCACCTCCATCTGAGAAGGTGGCGGAGGGGTCTTTTGAGGTGATTGAGGTTGTGGCCGGGGAACCCTTGGCGATCCATTGCCTTCCTCGGGTTCCCTTATTTTAACGCCGATGGTCATCGGCCTCCGCTGAAAGTCATGCGGCCCGATGATGGCCATCCTTCGGCGCCTTTTCTGAAGGGGCTGCTCGTCCATGTCTGAGTCTGAAGACTCTTCTTGTATTTGGTCTTCGGGACAAACAGGGGCTTTCCCTTCTCTGTGTCTGTTACTCTCTTCAGACTGTAATAGACAGGGGGGAGGAGGAATGTGAGTACAAAAAAAAAAAAAAAAGAGAAGAAGACAAAGTTAAGTCTGAAAGCTCACCGAGGTCTTCAGCAAAGCCTCGTCTTCTTCAGCTGCCCTAGCTGCAGCTTCCTCTTCAGCAGCTCTGGAGGACCCTTCTCCTCCTTCGCAAGCTTCGAGAACCCGTGCAACCTCTTCGGCTGTAGGGGCAGCTTCAGCTTCTTCGTCCAGCAGCTGAAACCAGGGGTCTCTCTTCTTCCACCAAGGCTTCTGCCTCTGATACAGAGCAATAGCCTCAATTTGGAAGTGGGAAGAGTTTAGATGAACTTCCCTATGCCTCGGCTCAGTGATAGACGGGGCCCGATCAGTTACAACTCGTTCTCGGTTGACGCCAAGACGAGCGTAGTTAATGCCAACGTTGATCTCGTCTCGCTCTGAAAAAGAAAAGGGGAAAGGTCAGTTCAGTTAGGTTGGCACAGCATAAAAAAAGCAAAGTGAGGAGAAAAAGAGATAATTAAAAAGCCTCGGCCCCAGCCGAAGAAGCTTACCATCCTTAAACTTTCGGCTGAGGCCAACAGCTGCTAGCATGTTCTCTTGGAAAACATAATGCGTATCGGGGAGCCAAGTCTCCGGGATATGTTGCATTCGGCCGCTGCCCCCCCGGTTCGGCAGCTTGCCGAAGATATTTTGTTGATCAAGGTTCGGATCCGGCCCGTTATCTGCGGGGGGACCTAGACTTCCCATGTCGGGATCAGGCTCAGCAAGGTACCGGGGAGCGCTGAAGACGCAAGGGTGGCCCGGATCTGTGGGAGCCCTAACCCAAATCCATTGACCTCTCCAGTCCTTGTCTGAAGAGTCGTTCGACCACATGGTCAGGTACTGGGGTCGAGACTCAATTCGGTACCACCCAGAACCATGGCTTCCGTGCCCACTTTGAATATTTGGCACTAGCCGATGAAGCTTTTTGAAGCAGTGCAGGTTCGGCACATACTTGAAGAACTTGCAGACCCATAGGTATGTCATCACCCTTCGGATGCTGGTAGGAGTCAGCTGACATAGGGAGATGTTGTAATGGATCAGCAAGTCTCGGACAAATACGTCCAAAGGGAACCTCAGCCCGTACTGAAGCTGTCTTGTGTACACCCCCACATACCCCGGGGGTGGACGATGGATTCTATCGGATGCCGCGGGCATTCGGCACCAATACCCATCAGCTTCAAAAATGCCGTAATGCAACTCAATTTGCTCGGCAAACCGATATTGTTCGGCATTCTCCACCCACCATGAGTAGGGGCGGTTCTTTATCATGGCCGAAGCTACTTCGGCATTCTCCCACTCTGAAAACCCGGGGAGGATATCCCAAAGGACAGCGGGAACTTCATCGTCCAGTCCAGAAGCGCTCGGCCCCTCCGTTCTCTGAGGAGGAGCCGAGGAAATTGGAGTCGCCCTAATCCCTTCAGCAGGGTCAGACTCTGGCCTTTGTCTATTCCAGGTCCAATCCTGTTCCTAGGATCGGGAATTGGCCTTGCTCTTCTTGGAGCACGGGCTCTACCTCTAACTCCTCTTGCCATAGATTATTTCGAAGAAAAAAGTCGAAGAAAAAAAAGGGGAAGGAGTTCGAATTCGAAGAAAAATAAACTGAAATCAAAGGAATTTACCTTAATCAGAAGCGAAAGTTGCCGATTTACGAGTTCGTAGTGGCAAGCCTCAGTTTCTAAGCTTAATGCTCGGGGAATTTGCGAAGTTTTGATGAGGGTTCTTGGTTTCTCTCGAGAATTCTGGGTTTGTGTTGGTGAATAAGTGAGGAGAGATGACGCGCCTCTGTTTATATCTCCAGGAATGGGAATACGGGGAGTCCGCGTTTCAATTTCTCTTAAATACCCCACTAAGTAACCGTTAAACACATGACCTTGCGATTAAACTGCCCATTATCCGTCCAACTTCCACAATCAACCGCCTTAACCGTTGTTATCTCATTAATTACGGTTTAAATTCAAATTTTTGGATTAATTAAATCATTTACTTCCCTCCTTTTCTGAATTAAATCAAACCCGACCCGTCATCCTTCCAAATCGGGTCTGGGGGGCAAGTTGTTTGGGTCCAATTTAGTCCAATTGGGCCTAGGCATTAAATGATCCAATTAAAAGCCCAAGGTCAAGGTTCAACTCTCCAATTGTGCTAAAGTCAAAGGTCAGCCCTCAAAGCAAGCCAATTGGGCTAAGGCCCAACTTCTCCATGTATGAAGAGGTATAAAAGCCATCATTATTCATAGATTCATTCATAGATTCATATCTTCTCATATACTCAAATAAAGCCTCAAGCAACAAATTCTCTTGCATAGTGTTCTCTTTCTACACATTGTACTGACTTTAGCATCGGAGGGGCCTTCCTCGGCAACACCCCCGAGGCTAGTTTACGTGTGTTTACTGTGCAGGAAACCTTCGGCCCAACATAACTTGGACTGAATCCAGTCTTCTCCGTTTCAGCGGACCTTCGGCAAGGTCCCATTGTTTTCACCCGAAACAGGTCTCATGTTACAGAGTAATTACAGCATGGCTATGCAAAAGAAATGAGCTTAATTGAAGAAAGAAAATGTATTAATGATCATTAATGTAAATAATTCCAACAATAATATGATCAGGACAAAGTATATCTCATCAACTTTGGCGTGCATTGCTTTATGATTAGAAGTCAATGATTAAAATGGCAAAGATAAGATAATTAAAGAAGAAATGTACTAATACCTTATTAATTGAGCAGGTAAAGTTGTTCCAAATATGAATTAAACCAATCAATAATCACCTTTAACAAGATGAAGGTCTCTTCTTTGGTTGGTCTGTATATTCTCACACAAGCCAGCAAATTCTGGTGGATAAAGTGGCTGCTTTTCTATATTTTAAGGATGATTAACCCTCCAAATAATTTGCTCAGGGTTTGATTAGATGGCAGTGACCCATGCTAACAAGCAAGCTTTTTAGTTAAAACTATTACCCCTAGTTCCTATAAAACACACGTGCATAGACGCATAGCTGCGTCTGTTAGTGGACCAACTCAACCAAAAGCCCGTTGGACTTGAAATGTGGATGTAGATGGGCCCCACCATACCAAGCGTTTAATATTCCACTTTGAAAGGAGGGGTGGATGAGATCTAAACCCGTGACCTTTGTGTCACGCTGGCTCTTGATGCCATGTTAGTGGACCAACTCAACCAAAAACTTAAGCTGATGGTTGAATTCCATAATCATTTTATATACTCTATTAGGGTCGCACCTATATCCTTTGTTGGGACCAATTGATCTTGAGGTGAGTTGTTATAATGTTCGTTGTATTTTCATTAGGTTCAAAGATTGAGTAGAAAAGGTAGGGGTAGCCCATAGTTACCCGAGAAAGTAAATCTATACTCCGTAACTAGTAACTACTTTTTCCTTCTCTTTCCCTATCATGCAGTCTATCTTTTTTTTCTCGATCTCGTATTCTCATGTTTACCCAAACTCCCAACCTAATTTGTCCTCTCCTTTAACTATTTGTCTTCGTTATAATCATTTATGACTAAAGCTGTTATAAGCTGAATCAAGGTTATTTTATCTACCATATGACTATATAAAAGGAAGATAGAAAGTAAAAGAAACCATTAGGATATGAGAAACATTTGTGTCAGACCGTCTTATACCATAAGACCATTTTGTGAACCAACGAAGACATGAAGTATATACTCAATATAGTCTCATCATATATATGATTTTATTATCACTCGAGCTATATAGTTTTAACCCAAAGAACAAAATAAAAGCAAGTCATATATTATACAATTTTTCTTAACTTAAATATACATCAATCATAATCTAAAGCCTCTTAAATATACATTAAATTACTTCCCACAAAATAATTGTTTGGAATTTCACTTCCATATAAAATATCATTCAGCACAATCTCTGAATTCTGATCTTCAATCTTGAATTGTGAATCAAACACAACATTTTCTGCTTCATTATATAATTCATCATTGCTACATGATCCTTCGTTGTACGTAAATCTTTGCGTATGACCATCCTCCAAATCCAAATTATATGTAACATGATCAATATTCCTGGAATAATTATTGTACCAAGGAAATTGATTAACTTGGGCAAAATAATGTCCATTATTATTGTTTAAAGTACTATCCAAGTTCAACCATTCAGCAAAGAATAGTTTTGGTAAGGCACTTTGATTGTTGCTAGTTAATTGAGTAACATTATTCATTGTAGAACCTTGATCGGAACTTGAAGTCGTGGCGTTCGAGTTTACGGGAGACTCGATTTTTTCTTGAAGGGTTGAGCTAGTTAATTGCGTTTTTGATATTGGTTCATTTTTTTCTCTCCTTGTTACCTTCTTCTTGAGATAAGAGTGCCAAAAATTCTTAATTTCATTATCAGTCCTCCCAGGCAAATGTTGTGCTATTTGTGACCATCTGTTAACAAAGAATGAAACGTTATACAAAGTATGTAACACGTTAATTAAAGTTCTAAATCATTGCGTTACATACTCTTCCTATAAAATTTTGAACTTGATGGTTATAGGAACAAATTTTCTTTTAAAAAAACCGGTACAACACCTTGGTTGAGTACCTTAGACGAAAGTAATGAGAAGTTAATACAAAGTTTTACGTACCCATATCATCATTATTATCGATCATTTCATGCATGTTTAAAGAAAACATACCTTTAAATGAAAATATTTACGCAATTAGACATAATTTTCCTAGACAATGTTTTGCTTTTCTCTGGCTAAGATTACTATATATTGCTTGATGATTATTTTTTATAGCATTAAATTAAAGTTCTAATTAAGTTAAAGTTTAGGGTTGAGTGACAACCTAGCTAATTAATGTTGTGCCTAATGTAGTTCGTTTAATCATTAGATTATTGCGGCACTATAATATAGTGGTAAATTTTGTCTGCATGTTTAGCAATGGCTTGATGCCAAGAGTACCTTAAGCTAGGAGGAAACTGCCAAGATGAAGCAACTTTAATGATGAAATTGACAATATACTGGTAAAACTATGCCCGATATAGAAGTATCCAATGAAACTCACGTACTAGCTTAGTTCTTTCTTACACAAAGACCAAATTACTTAATTACAATGTAAAAAGAGGGAGAAAGATAGGGAGGGATGTGATGATTTAAGCTATTTTCTCTTCACTTGATGATAATAAAATGTTTTATTCTTAATTTTTTAAGGATTTGATGTGGACTAGTTTGGTCTGATTCGACTAAAATTTGATTATTGTGTTTGTGCGATATATATTTTGATGATATAACAACAAATATTGTTAATAAAGTGGGGTCTTGCTATATTATTAGGCACTCGTAATTTTTAACATGTGCAAAAAATAAAAAAGTACGGAGTAGGTATATTTTTACAATTTTGTCACATTTTTTTTATAGCTTTACTAAACCAAGGAAATGAATACGAGTAGGTTGTAAACATACGCTATCTTTAATCACCCCATACAAGCTATCACCCCGGCCCTTTGCAAAGTTGATTTTTACACATTTTCGAGGTGATTAACCTTATAGTATATGTTTTTGCTTTAGATATATATATAACCATCATATCAAAATAAATCAAATACGCGATTGAATAATTTAAACTTACTTATTTCCGAAAGCAAAATGAAGGGCTAGTATAGTTTCCTCTTCTTGGGGACTTAACGTGCCCCTCTTAAGCCCTGGTCTTAAGTAATTAATCCATCTTAATCTGCAACTCTTTCCATTTCTTTGCAGTCCTGAAAAATTAATTGGCTAGTAAATTTCTAATTATAATGGCCAATGTAAGAGCACCGTGATTAATCCGTACATATTAAACAAATATAAAGACAAAGAATGATGAGGTGATTATTCTCAATAGAAAGTCAACCTAAAAAGCAATTGGAGTACTTAATTTTTAACTTTTATTAAAATTATAGATGTCATTGTCACTATCTTTTGCTTGCACTTTTTAAATTCTTGTTGTTTTTGACTCAAGCTCCTATCATGCATACTAATTCTACAATGTCCTATTTTGGCCAAAGCAAAGATTTCTTTAATTGTCCTTTTTTATGCCCTTAAGATACAGACCATTTCCAAGGTTCATTTACAAAATAATGTACGGAGTAAAACATAACTTCTTGCTTCAACATTTTTTGTACGGATCATCGAAGGTTTTCATTATGTGTTCAGATCGGATCAGAATAGGTTTCTCATAATCCCTACATGCTCCGATCCTAACCTTTCATAATTATGACTATGAGCGAAGAGTATTACGCATTTATTTGGGTTATTTTTGTTCTCTAGCTTCCATAATACTAAAACGAAGTATTATAAAAAAACAACCATATATAACATGAAGAAATGAAGTATCACATACTTTTGGTAGTGACATATTATAAATTCTAACTTCTCAGTATATTTTTTTTTTTTGGTTGGTAAGGAAAAGGGCCCTACCAGACCAGAACCTTTCACAGGTGCTCCTAACCCGGGTTAGCGGGCTAGGCACTTTAGAAGTGGGGGGGGGATGGGTAAGGGAATCCCCACCCCAAAGTGCCTCTAGTGGGGTTTGATTCCACAACCTCATGGTTATGAGACGCAAACCTTACCACTAGACCAAGCTATGCTTGGTTTTAACTACGTATAAACTGATACAAAGTATATATAAGTTTTTTTTTGGACATTCAAAAAGTATCACCCTATATTGCATGCATGATGTAAACCCTAAAACTCTTACTAGTACTTTCATATGATTGGGATGCTTACAGCTTACTGTAAACAATCGATGGACGAAGCTAGCTAGATGTTCTTAAGTAATACGGAGTAATTTAATTAAATCTGTATAAAGCTATAAGCTCTTGTATTTCTCAAATAATAGAAATGTTTAAACATGCATGCTCTCATGTTCACCAAAAAAAAAAAAAAAAAAAAAAAAAAAAAAAAAAGTAAATTAAAAACATCACTCATAATGTAGCTTTGATTCGGCTTCTTCTTGATCATCTTCTTCTTCTTTTTTTCAATGATCAAGAAACTACTTTAATTTATTAAACACCAAACTACTTTTAATGGTTCAAAGACTTAATAAAGCAAAGCTAGAACTAGCCTTTTATGAACACTTAATTATATTATGCTTAGCTTAATTTTATTCATATTAAGATGCCCTTATTAGTTGGTAAACAAAATTCCATATAAACAAATTCCAATGCATGCATTTAAGCTTAAATATTTTTGATGGATTTGTATTATAAAAAAAGAAACAAAAAAATTGATATTTGGAAACTACGCATCAAAAGTATCAAATAAGTTCTATAATTATGTTGCTCCTTATATACTTTTACTTATCATCAATAAAGTATAAGTCTATTAGAGATCCAGGCCATCTGCAAATTTGTAATGGCAGACTTAATTATTTTTTTTTTCTTAATTTATAATCAAGAATATACAATAAAACATTTTGACACTTGACAAGCTCAATAATCAAAGCTTAAATAAGGTGAAGCTAAGGCCATTTATTTCATACAGAAAATGGAGAACAAAAGATCTGTAAAAAAAAAAAAAATTGACCATCTAAATTATAATTTTATAATAGTACGTACGTCAGTTTTAAATTATAATAACAATAATACTTAGCTAAAAGTCAAATAATATTTCATTTACCGACAATTTTATATATTTAAAAATAAATAAAAAGTAAAAGGGTTACCAGCATTAATGGGAACATTGCTCCAACATCCATGGCCATGATGAAGAATGTAGTTTCTTAGCCTATCATCTTCTTCAGGTGACCATAAACCTTTCCTATGCTTTATTTTTGGTTTTGTTTTATTCAATGATTTGTAACCCATTTTTAGCAAGGTGCCTAATTAGATAACCCTAATAATAATAATAATAATAATAATAATAATAATAATAGAAATAATTTACTCAAAATTTGAAGAAAATCATCAATAGAGTAGTGAAATTTATTTCAGGAAACTTAGATTAAGTGAGAGCCTTAATATTAAGATGATCAAAGTGTTTAGGAGGACAATGAGAGAAGGAAGAGAAAGATGATGTTATGTATGTGTGAGCAATGTATTGACCTTCTTTCCTATTTAAAGCTTAGATCAGTTGTCATGCTTTTTTTTTTTTTTATTCAATATTTTTTTTGCCTTATTAGCACTTTTACTTGAATAAAATATACTATACATAAAAAGAAAATGATAAAGACTTGTCAATATTTTCTAATATACCATTTCTAGAGACAAATTAGTGCACAAGTAGTGTGTTCACTTAACTATTTCACAAAGTTTTGTGCAATTTATAAATTAAATGTGGTGACCTATATATTGATGGATGACTTTTTAAGTATATTATTTACAATGGGTGACATATATATAAAGAATTACTTTTTAATTTATTGAGAGATGATATTAGTTACGTTGTTAAGGGCAACATGATTGTTATAATGTACGTTCATATACCATGTTAAAAGTATAAAAGCGGCCTATATACAAATGAAGAATATGTAAAAGAGAAGAATTCTTCAAAAAAAAAAAAATATGTAAAAGAGAAGAAGATCATAGCTTAAGATATATTACACCCATTAATTAATTAACTAATGATGAAAGGAGTTATTTCCAAGCTTAAAGTTTGTATTTGTCTTTTAATTTCCTCAGCTCAGTACTCATCTCGATCTAATGTAGAGCACCTTACATAGTTACATATTCATTTCAATATTTTACCATATGATGGTGCAATGCTTAATTTCAAAGAAATGAGTTGTGGTGGTATCAAACTCTCAATGTAACGCAAATAAATAAATATATGATGTGATTCATGCATGCAAATTATTAAGAAAACTACTACTTCTTAGATGACATAGCTTTTAGTTAATAAACTAATTAATAAAGTAATAAGGTTGTTGTAGACTTTGATTAATGATTTTCCCATAACTAATAACTATACATACATGATGGTGGTTAAGATCTAAAAATGAGATTTAGTCCTGGTGGTTCTTGGACTGCCTCATAAAAACAAGTCTATCATAATAATTTATTAAATTATTATCATGCATTTTGATTTGAATTGGCATCATTATTTAGCGGGAAAAAAAAACAAAAAAAAAACTTAAAAAAAAAAAGGACCTTTGAATCTTACAAAACCAATCATACGTATTTGATGATTGTAAGAATCTTCTGCCACCAATAATTTGATTACAATTTCACTGAAAATGTCCATGAAGTTGAATTGTTAAATGCTGAGTTTGTGCAAGTAGTAATAAAAATAAATTTTCTTAATAACTAAGAAGTTTGAAGTTTATTATACTTCCTCCATTATTTTTAGATGCATCCATTTTGCAATTGTAGACTAGACAATTTTTAGAGTAGAGAGTGATAGAGAGAAAAATAAAGAGTCTATATGATAGGAGAGAATTGAAATAGAGAAAATTTATTAAGTACAAGGAAAAGTGATGCATCGAAATTGAAACTTCTATTAAGTAATGCATCTAATAAAAAACAAAGGAAGTATTTACTTTCTTTGTTGAATTTGTGCAAGTTGTGTCGTAAAATATATAAATTGAAATAAATTAAATAAATCAAAATTTCTTAAACTAAAAAGGTTGAAGTTTAATATAATTGTTATTGCTCTCTTTGTTGAGTTTGTGCAAGTAGTAACGCAGTAAAATGAATTTTTTTCTTTTTTAGAAAAAAAAAAGAAAAATATTTTCCTAATAACTAACAAGGTTGGACTTTAATAAGCGTAGGTAGTTAACGTATGAATTGTTAACTCATCAGAATAAAGACAGTTCATTAAATTTGCTCTCTTGTTTTCTTGTTTATGTTAGGTAAATTTTATAAGGATTAATAATGAAATTTTGGAACGTTTATTATATACCTGTAACTGGTAAACGCAGGCTTTGTTAATGTACTCTAGTTGCTGCTTGGTTAATTGGTTGATAAGACGTTTACTTTGCTTCTTGCTCATTGTTTTTTCATAAAATAGACTTTTTGGTTTGCCAAGTAAAGTTGTACGTATGTATTTGTTTTAACCAGCATATTTATTGCCAAAGGTGCACATACCACTATGCATGTTAGTACAGAGATAAACATCATTTTTTTTTTTTTTTTTTTTTTTGTGAGGAGATAAATTGGTGTACTTAATACTCGATTATTCTCAACATATATTCTTTCACTTAATTTAATTATGTAACATAGCAATATTCATAAAAATTTGTTTTTTTTTTTTTTTTTTTTTTTTTCCTTGCGGTTTTGGTTGGGTTGTTTCTAATATTTTACATGTGTAAGGTTGTCCTTGGTGCACAATGACGACCTAGCAATGGCACTTAAAGTTGGTGTTTGATCAGGGCTGATGTGGTGGTGTGGAGGTTTGGGGAATGAACGCAGTGAAGTGAAGGGCAATGCACATTGAAAACAAAATGTTGGTCAATGCCGACAATTTAGCAAGGCTAGTTAAAAGCAAATAAGAATTTAAGATATTGTCAATAATGTGCACATTTAAGCATATTATAAAACATTTTTATTATCTTATCTTCTATTCTTAGGGGCCGTTTGGTTCGCACAAGAGAATCGGAATGGAATGCATAAAGGGAATGGAAGAGAATGGAATGAAACCCTTAGAATTTAGGGTGTTGTTTGGTGAGAATGGAGGAGAATGGAATAATGAAACCACAGTATAGCCACCACATCACAACCATTGCACCCCTTCCTTCATTAGTTTCCACCTTCTCCAGCCACCACACCGCCCAACCAACACCACACTGGAACCGGTCGTCCTTCCTCCGACCTTTGCCGCCCATCTCCCGACCTGGTGAGGTCCGTCGAACAACAACACTGAGGGTTGGTTGACAAGAGGACCCATTTTCTGTGGCTAAATCAACCAACCACTGAACCTCTAACCCATGATCGGAACCTCCTAGAAGGTTCCGATCTCTGCCATTGTGGACCCCAACGAAGGTGATGCGTTCATCGGCGAGGTGCGATCGATGGATCTAAGTGGAGGGGAGGGTTATGCGTGGGTGAGGGAATGATTTTCGGGTGAGAGGAGGGGCAGCGAGGGCCGGGGGATGGCGGCGACATTCCAGTGAGGGGCGGCGACATTCCGGCGAGAAGTGGGTGAGGGTGGCTGATGTGGGTACGGTGGTGGTTGGGGAAAGGGAATGGGAAAGGCTTGGGGGGGGGGGGGGGTGGGGTGGGGAATGGGAGTAGAAGGTTTTGGGTAATCAAAGGAGAAAGGGAATGATAGAAATGGCAAAAAAAAAAAAAACAACAACATTGTTATAAAAGTTAGCTTACATAGTATTGTTAGAAAAACACATTCTTCAAATAAAATAATAATAATTAGAAAAAACACATCATGACAAATCAAATATATAAGATGAAACTATATTATTTATCGAAACAACATTGTTATTTCGTCGTGTCATTTTGTTGAACCATTTGGAATACAGGTTGATGAGTATTTGACTGAATTGATGTTTCTAGGAATCAAGCTTAAGTTCAAATTGATAAATTATAATACAGTTAAGTTTATCATATTATTTGTAATGCTGACCAGTATTAATTTATCAATCATAGATAAACTCATTTCCTTCACAATCAAACATCCAAGAGTCGGTAAAAAACGAAACCCTAAGAGGGGGAGGTTATGAGTTAATTTATCATTTATCAGCACCCCCCATATGTGAGGAGGCTTATATAAAATGATTTAATCAAACCATAATGTAAAAATTTGAATATACGTGAATAACGTGATATGCCGTCACTCTAGCGTCATCCATGCGACCATGGCACCATGCATGCAATTTTGTACGAAAATTCTTCCTTTCATTTTAAAAGTTATTACTCCGTAATATTTTCATTTTATTCTATGTATATGTAAATTTCTTATTTAGAGTACTACTTTACGTCTTTACCTTTTTTATCCCACATTATTTACACATTTTCACTCACTTTTACTTACTTTATCCACCTTTTTTTATTACACCAATCTATATTTTTACACAATTTCTTTTACTTAATTCGCCTATTTCTTACATTAATAATCCACACATGACTCACCAGTCACCAACTCACCACATTAACATTGTCTCTCCAATTAAGTTAATTAATTTGTGTGCAAAAATTAAAAATTAAGAACTTTTGGAAAGTGGAGGCAGTATAATGCGAAGTATAAGCTTAATCAACCAATTAAATATTACAAACAAAAAATCACTCAACAAAATTGTACACAACTTTTCATTGTTCCTTTAATTTATTTTTACAATCAAGAAATAGGAAAGTATTCGTTAGAACGAAAGAGAAAGTCTTGTAATATTACTCAGTAGTAATTGTAAATATATGCTGTCAAAGTAGTGTTAATCAATGCAACAGTAATCTGTTATACTAGTAGTTTAAACAAGGCAAAAGAAAAACTTTGTATACATAAAATAATATTCCAACATAATTGTCGGCAAATAAATATTTCTAATAATTAAGAAGATGATTATAAATTGATTGAATTTGATTCTTTATTTCTACTAGCCACTATTGTGTTTTTGACGGGTACAACAAGCCACTACTTTATAGAAAAATTCCTGGTTTTTCAATTTGGCATTTACTTATATCATATTACAAATAATTACTCCGTACTATTTTTTTTTTTCATTTTTTAATTTTGAAAGGACAAATAATTATTGTTATATGTAAATAATGTAATTATGTATTGATACTATACCTTGCTTCTTTTTGCGTGTGACACTAATTGTATTTGGTTATTTATATGTATACTCTATACAAGAAAAATATATTATCACGACAGATCTTGACGATGAATTTGGTTTGGAGTCTATTTTTAATTTCTCATATATATTTTATTATATTTTCAAAATTTTCACTTGTAATTAAGTATTTCGGTTTAGAGATGTGCTTTGACAATCTTAACCAGACAACAAATGTAAAATACGAAGTAAGAATGTAATAATAAAGAAACAAATGGACGACTAATCTTAACAAATAATGAGTGCAATCCAGCTTAACATGGTTACAAATTACCGAGTATAATTTTATGTAGTACTCTGTATGTGTTTAGATTATGTCGCTCCGAGTAACTAGTACTGTAGCTTCGCATATTAACTCATATTAGTTCTATGCTTGTCACTGACTAATATGCTTAGAAATTTTACGTCATTAAGTAAAGCCTTGCAATGATATAAGAAATTTTTTTAAAAAAATATTAAAAAAAGATCTAATTAGATCTTCAGATGG